TGCATCCAACTCAACAAAGAAATAAATTTAGATGGGGGGGGGGGAGTTGGGAAGAAGAGTAAAATCAAGGAGGGAAAAGTTACAAACAAAACAAACTTGTTTATTCTAAAGGAGAAGGATTAAATGGGAGAGAAGAGAAGAGCTAAACTTGCTTTATATGACTTTATCCAGGTGAAGTTCTAACAGTATGGAATCTGGAGTCACAGGATTTGAAAATCTCATCTCTTCCACTTACTCCATGTGTAGGAGCCCTGGGTAATAGAAGAGGAGGCCATATCACCAGATTGAAGTGGGGTAGTTTATTCTTGTAAAAAAAAAAAGTTCTATCACCCACTCAGGTGGTAGAAATCTGTCCAGAGATTAGGAATGGGAATCATCAGTACTTGTTGCAGTTGAGCCCCCCCCTCCCAGCCAGTGCTGAAAATGGGGAGGTTGTGAGCCTCCCGTTTCTAGTCTCCTTGAGCCATCTCTAACATCTGATTCCTGGGAGAGAATGGAAAGGGAGGTCCCATTACTTTCAGACAGCTAAAGTTTTCACAAACAAGTACATCTTTGTAAATGATGCTTTGAGTCCCTTCTTTCCTCTCTCCTTCCTTCTTTCTCTCTCCCTCCCTCCCTCTCTCCCTGATACTGCTGTCTTAGGGAGGGTTCAGTAAGGGAAGCACCACCCTTCATCAAGATTCTATGTCTGCATTATTCTCGTAATCCTTTTTTTGTTGTTGTTGTTGTTTACAAAGCAATTTCTGACAAATTCTCCCAGAAAGCAGAAGGAACTCTGGTCCTGAACTCTTCCACCTGAATCTGTTCTCACAGGCTGGTCCTGCCTCCTTCCCTAAACATACCCTGCCACCACTATGACACCCTGGGCTGGATTTCTTCCCCCTCTACTTGCTCAGGGTTCTGGGGGCTGAAGAGCAGATCTTTCAAAACTCCAAACTGGCGAGCTGGGTATTCAAAACTTCAAATTGAAGCTTCTGGATTCCTTCCAGCTTGAGGTGTAGAGTAAATTCATCTGGGAGCAGAAAGGGTCGGGGTACAAGAAGAAATGCTTAAAGATAGGCTAATCAGACTTTGAATGATATTCTTGTTTTCAGTAAGGCATCCTTCTTCAGGTATAGCTTGGACTAGATGAAGCTGTGAGGTCCCTTCCAACTCCGAGATTCCGTGATACACTGGGGGTGGGGAGGCGGGGGAGATGGGGAGGGAGGACTTCTCCCTAGAGCTTTGACGTAAACTTAAGAGGCCCCGCTCACTCTCACTTAAGAAGAGCCGTCAGTAAACGCAAACGGGAAGACCAAAGTGTCACCTCAGCTGGGAGCATCTGAGAGATTTCCGATTGTAACACAGGAGGGAACTCCTAGAGGGCAAAGGAGGTAAGTGGGTGAGGCATGCTTTTCCTGTCATGTGCGACACCTGCAGAATAGGGCAGCCTTAACTCTACTTAGACTGGGCTGTCTCTAGGTTCGGGAGAGGGGAAAGATGGCAAGTTCCGCGGGTTGTGAGATGAGAAGTGCAGAACAATGTGTCTGTTAGCTGCTGTACTCCTAGTTGCACGCGCTATGTTAGGACTTAGGAATTGCCAGCAGTCCAGAAAGCGGAGTTCTTTCTGTAGAAGGATGGAGGGATTGTCGAAGGAGAAAGGAAACAGAAACCAGGGGACCTCAGGGAAAGGCCGAACGGTTTGGGAGAGAGCATAGTGAGGGAGCTCTATTAACTTCAGAACTCTGGACAGAGGCACGTGTCCTTCGTCCAATTCATTTTGAACAGAAAACTTTTATTGCTTCCCAAAAGAAATAGGATCTTCTAAACCTTCAGCCATCTCAAAACTTTTAAATCATGCAACAAGAATTTAATTCAGAGGCAGAAAAAAAACCTGAACAGAAATAAATTCAGGGATTCAAGAGGGGAGGGAAGGTAGGCAGATTTGCTTAGCTGCATAAGGCAAAACATCTGGAAAAACCAAGGGAAAGTCTTAACAAATCAGAAATTTAAAGGACAGTTCAGGGAACACTTTGTTTTGCACATATCAGTTCTAAGCAAGCGTACAGAAATGCTTGTGCAATTATGTCTTATTATTTCCCGCTCCCATGCAGGAAAGACTCCACCTTATGGCTAATGAGCAGATCAGCACAGTGATCAAATATTTGGATTTAGAAGTGATTTTTTTTTTGTTGGACTTGGCTTTTTGTCCAACTGGGATCGTCACAACTTTTATTCTGCTACCATTGCTTTTAATAATACTGACATAAAATTAAAATATAACTGAAAGCAATGTAGCACAGGAAAGCAAGGATCCTTCTTTATTTTTGCTTTCTGTTAGAATCGAAACATTCTCAGGTCATATATGTTTTCTCTTTTCTATGCTGACACAATTTTTATACCTCCTTTTCCATTTGGCCAATTCTACTTTTAAAGGAGTTGTTTTCTTCAGTCACTTTTTGTGCTTTCTTTTCCAAGCTGCTCACTCTTTTTCATAATTCTCTTGCATAACTCTCATTTCTTTTTACCATTTTTTCTTCTACCTCTTTTACTTGATTTTTAAAATCCTTTTTGAGTTCTTCTGAGAGGGCTTTTGGGGCTTGAGACCAATTCATATTCCTCTATGAGGTTTCACATGTAGGCATTTTGACATTGGTGTCCTAGAGTTTGTGTTCGGATCTTCCCTGCTGCCATAGTAGCTTCCTATGGTCAGGACTCTTTTTTGTTTTGTTTTGTTTTTTTCTCATTTTTTAAAGTTGAGCTCTGCTCCTGGAGCACAGGGGACACTGTCCAAAGCTTCTTGCACTGGGGATTAGGGGTCTGGTCACTGGCTTTCTGTGCCAGGGCCTCTGGGACTGGCAGCTTGCCCACTGTGCTAGAGTGTCCCAGTCTAGTCATGTTTGTTGTGTCCTGGGTTCAGGAGCTGACAGTTTACCTGTTGCACTGGGGCTGGAGGCCTCACAGCTGACCTGCTGTACCACTGGACTGCTGAGCCAGGACCATGGGGGCCTTGGGTGATGCTTGAGCCTCTTGCTGCCTTGCCTGGATACTGCCTAAACTGGGCTCCATTCCCCTTTTACCCAAGTGAGATAGACCTTTCCTAAAATCCTAAGTTATCTTGGGCTGGAAATTTTTTTCACTCTGTCTTTTTTGTGGGTTCTGTTGCTCCAGAATTCTTTCAGAGGCTTGATTTAATGTTGTTTCTGTGGGAAACTGTGGAGAGCTCAAGCAACTTCCTGACTTCTCTCTGCCATCTTGGTTCCACACCCTCACAAAGATTTTAGACAAGCTTTCTAGAAAGAAAGAAAACCTTCAGTACTATTCTTATTTTGTGGGTATTGCTGTCTGAAGGGGAAATATTTCAAAATGTTACATAACTTCTTTTGTTTTTTTCGCCACCAGACATCAGAATAACTGGTTGTTAAAAGGTGGAAATAAATAGTATTCCTTGACAACTAAAGTGAAATTTATAGCAATCATTTGGTGCAAAGGGAAGAAGACCACAACTTTATGAAAGTTGCATCAGAGTTTCAAAACATTTTCTACATGTTTATTAGATTTTCATTAGTTCAGCTTTTATGTGTTTGTTGTATTTTCTTCTCTATCCTTTTAAATTGCTGTCTTTGAATTGATTTTCTTTAGAACCTTTCAGAAAGCAAGTACCTTAATTTTCACAGAAAATCACCATTCTCCACCCCCTACCAGCTCATTGATATATTGGCATACAGTACTATAGTGTTTCATTCATGTCCAGGATAATTCATAGAAGTGATGGGCCACACTTTCTTCAGGCATATCTACAGGGAGGAAGGAACAATGTCAAGGACAGAAGAGAATTGCTGTAAAATTTGTTTGAAATTTTCCTATGGTTAGTATTAATATTGTTATTTCCAATTCTTTAATGAGCAACAGAATAACCAAAAACAAGTACCTGGAAATGAAAATATAACAATGTCTTCATTGCCTAACTCAGTGGTCTCTTTTCAGTCCTCATCCTCTTTGACTTTTCTGTTAAATTTGACAAAATTGAATACTCCCTCCTTGAACTCTTTCCTTAAACCTCTCCTGGATTTCTTCCTATGTGTTTGCTGAATCCCTGATAGTTTCCATCATATGTACCTTTTTCTTTTTCCATTCTCCTGAGTTTGAGTGTCCCCAAATACCCTGTCTTTGGCACTATTTGGTAAATCTGACCCTCTTCTTTGGTCCTCTCAGCTACTTTTGTGGTCCTAATTATGACCTCTATGCAAGTTATTCACACACACACACACACACACACACACACACACACACACACACAAAGAGAGAGAGAGATTTGTAAATATATATTCCTGATATTTCCCCTGAGCTGCAATACCACAATTACATATGATGATTGGAAAACATTTAAACATTTTTTGGCTATTCTGCTTAGCAAATCTCTCTAGTACTGAAGAACCCAGGGTCACCTTCATGACATGATTAATCATTATATAAAATGTATTATTCAAGAAATATTGATGAGTAGATGTGTGATTAGGAATTTTTTGGGGAAAATTCAGTTGATCTGTTGGTGATGGCGGTGACAATGCAAAGGGCAGTCTACCCTGGTACCCCCTGAATAGTCTACCACTCGATATAGTCACAATGGGAGAGGTGGCATCTTGTTCTCCAGATGTTGTAGCCTGAACCTTCTTGATGTAATTGACAATGCCTCATCCATCAGCTCTGGGAAGGAGGAGAATGCAGGGAAGTAGAGTGCAAGGACAGAGGTACCAAAGTGACTGTATCATTAGGGAGATGACTCAAAATAGGCCCAAGAGAGCATGGGAGGAAAGCACTCCTTTCATGTTGGTGTACTGGGCGAAGTTCCACTTTCCCTATGCTAATTGTGGCTCTATTTACTGACTCCTATATCTTGTTTTCATTGCACTTATGTGATGGCAGAACATGAATGTCCTCATCTTAGGCATCCTAGTAGGGTTCCTTTTTCTCCCAAGGTAAGGACTTTATAGTCTTCCTTTCTGTGCTATTTCAGTGTCATGGCAGATCTTGGGAACCAAGGAAGGATTCATTGCCCCATGAGACTTACCTGTACCCTACTCATTGTGGGACTGTGCTGTGTGGCACCTTTCTTCTGTCATAGCCAAATTGATCTCCTGGCTCTGAACCAAGCAGATCCTCAATGCTGGGAGTCCTCTTCAGTGCTCCTTTTGGATATGAGGAAGCCGCGCATTTCTGACACTGTGACAGGATTTTGGGACTTTATGATCTACCTGAAATCATCTGAGAACTTGCAGCATGGGGCCCTTTTTTGGGACCTGGCCCAACTCTTCTGGGATATCTATGTAGACTGTGTGCTCTCTAGAAATCATGGCCTAGGAAAGAGACAGCTGGCTGGAGATGAAGAGAAACTGTCTACAATGCATTCACAGCACTCAGGAAGTAAGCCTTTTGCCTTTTATTTCTGTTATCTCAAAGTGGATATATATGCATGGAAGAGCTAAGTGGAGGTAAAGAATACATATTTGTTGATCACAATTTGTGCACTGGAGTATCTGAAACACTCATCTGCAATTACAGAGGAAAAGTTAATTGCTAGCCTATTGCCTCCATCATTCCCAAAAGTAAGAAGCAGGTGAAAGCAACTGATGTGAGAATAAAAGTTATAGAAAGGCATGATTCACCAAAGAACATTAATAATTCTTAGTCCCCAAGCAAAAGTTTTAGAAAGTTTCTTCTTACTTGTTTAAAAAGAAAACCAAAAAGAGCTTCAACCCATTGCCACTGGGCAGCTGAAAGGCACAGTGGAGAGAGTACTGATAAGTGACAGATGGAGTAAGAAGAACTGAGCTCCAATCCTGTACCAGACATTTACTAGCTGTGTGGCCTTGAGTAACTCATTCAATCTCTCTCTGTCTTAGGTTTTTTTTTTAATCTGTACATGATGTTCTTAGTGTTCAACAGAACATGCTAATAGTTATCTGACTTATCACCTAAACTCCAAGGTAGACCATCAATGATATCAATCTTTCTCTTTCACCACTTGTTTTTCAGTTTCTTAATTCATTCCAGCAAGACAAACAGAATTGCTAGGGCTGCCACCAGTGACTTCTTGGCCATTGTTCTACACAGCATCCATAGTCCCTTTTAACAAAATTTACAGGATTTGCTCTAGCCTCTGAAGCTACTTCACCCTATATCATTCACTGATACAAGTGATGACCATAAGCTTTGAGTAGAGACACTAGTCAGATTTGGAATATGAGCATAAAAATTTTGTTCAATTGTTTTAACATTCGATGTAAATTATTTTTGTCTGAAATCAGAAAACAATTATTCTATCAGTTCAGATTAATTAAGAGTCTGTGGGTGAAGAAGATACTGAAATATTTAAAGAAAAAGAGAGACTTTTCACCTTAAAATTCTAATTAAATCTCTTAGGAGGCTCAATAGGACACTGGAGGTGTCAGCTTATACTCTGAAGGTAGCCAGATGGTATGCCTTTGGGAGCAATGAGTATTATGATTTGGATAAAGAAAGAGGAAGTACTTGACCCTCCCCTAAAGGAATATACAATCATTGGCAAGAAAGGGAACACCGAGATAAATGTGGATGAAATACAGGTGTTTTGTGTTATGAAATAAGTAGATATATTCCTGAAATTGTGTGTGATTATAACATTTTTATGAATTCAATACTTTACATGGTATGCTCATTGGTACATGTATATAATTTTTCCATAAGGTGAAATCACTAACCTTTAATTCGCTTTATAAAACTAAATTTTAATAGATTTGCCTAAATTTGAGCTTATTTATTTTTTACAAATATTAAAAATAAAAATTAATTAATGTGACTTCCAACAATTTACTTTACTTTTCTAGGTCTCAGTCCCCTTATCTAGAAATGAGGGCTTTGGACTAAGTGAGTTCTATGATCCCTTACAGCTCTAACATTCCATGACACTGTGGGAAAAAAAAGAAATGTATCAAAGACACAGAGATGGTGTTTTAATGTAGACAAGTGCAAAGCACTTAATTTAGATCATGAAATAAGAATTGCTCCCCCCGAATTAAAGTTAACTGAATAGCTGAATATCTAAACTTTTTTTCTGTTATTTTCTGTTTCAAAGGTGATATAAGCTGAAAAGAAAATAATTTAGAAAAAGTTTAAATACATTTATAGTTGATTGTGAGAAACTATGGTATTTTGAGGTCTATCCCTAATCTTTGAGGTTGATAGCAAGAATAACCAGGCCATTGTAAAAACATGTATCTCTGGGCTACCTTCAGGATAGTAAGCTGGATAGACATTTAACCAAATATGCAATTCTCTGCTACTTCGATGCATCTGTGATTGCATTGGTGTGAGCTGATGTAACTTTCATAGCTTTGGATTCTATATGACTTTTGTCTATTTTGTTTTTGTTGTTCAGTCATTTCAGTCGTGTCTGACTCTGTATGCCCCCATTTGGGGTTTTCTTGGCAAAGATACTGGAGTTGTTTGCCAGAAGAGAAACTGAGACAAATGGCATTAAGTGATTTGCCCAAGGTCACACAGCTAGTAAGTGTCTGAGGCCAGATTTGAGCTCAAAATGAGTCTACCTGACTCTAGGCCCAGTGTTCTATCCACTGCACCACTTGGTTGCCCCCCTCCCCTAGCAGCTATATTTTCTTAAATAACCCTCCATGGAGAATTGATTCAACACACTAGAGATCTCCTCCTGTTTTTTATTTGTGTTTCCTTTGTTTTTTAGTATCTCCGAGTTACTAATGTATGACTTAGACCGATCATCTGTTGTCTCTCATTCTTTTTCTGCCATTTGCCTCAAAATCCCTTTCCTGAGTGGTGGCCCTCTCATCCTTCTGGGTGTCAGTTGCTCTCAAGAACTTTAATGTCCCTCATTCTTAATTCATAACCAGATGACCTCCTCTTTTGATGATATGTGGCCATGATAATGTCTTTCACACCACTTCTCATGTGCTATATTTTTATGAACTGTGCCATTCTTACATTCTAGAAAAGCAGAGAATGTGTTTTTTCTTCTTTATAAGAAAGAAAATACATTGAATCACTAGTGACTTTTATAATTGTTATAGAAATCAGTGGCAAAAGAACTGACTAGGAAACAGATAGCACCAAGATATTATTCAGATATCTTCAATGGCAGTGGGAGGGTGGGAGTATTTATTGAGAAATGATCATAATATAAAAAGGCATAAATAAAATTTAATAATTAAAAAAGTTGAACATTATAGTAAACATGCTTCAGAAATATAAAGACACAAGTTTCAATGGTTTAGAAATAAGTTTATTTAGATTTACTGTATTTGGAATAAATCACTATGTTGAGTAAAATAGATATGATTGCACAAAGATAGCCATGTGTACAAGCCTACATTGCATATGCATAATGATTACAGATAAATATATAGCAAATTTCTTGTTGCATAACAATTCACCCTACTATTAGCCTCCAAATCATGTTGTGACCTATTATTTATGTCTCTTTTTCCTTTCAGGTACATATTCTCAGTTCCAAAGAGCCCCACTTCTGAAGAAGAAAGAGTTGATTGAAGATTTGATAAGCATCCATGTGCATAAGAGTGGGTCTAGATTAATTGGAAGAGTTAACAGTGACCTAGGAATAAAGAGAAAATAAATCTAATACAAACTTGAGCCTAGTGTAATTATTTTGGAAAAAAATACATCTTTTTCTTGACTTTTGTTCATTTCTTTGTAGAAGGTAATGTCCATAGTTTCATATTAAGTCAGATTCTTTCCATGTATTAGAATACTTGGAAGTGGGCATTTTAGAAGTTTCTTTGAGTACTTAACAGGTCTCTAAGGCTACAGTGTCTAGAGTTGGAGATCTAATCTAGCACTTTCATTTGACTGGTGAGGAAACCAAGGTCCAGTGGTCTGACCAAAATTTGAACCTAGATCTTTTGAATCTAGAGTCAGTCCCTTCTCAAGACTACAACTTATTTCCATGCTAGAAAGGAGACCACAAATGATGGAGTATGCATACTGAATAGTCTTTGATCTCAATGATTAAGCCCTGCTTCCAAAGGCAGAAGAGAGATAGGGATTGGGTGAATCCGACTCACGGTATCCTCTTGTTACTTAATTTTTTTAAAAAATAAGAATTCCCGTGAATTTAGTCTCTTCTCCAAACTACATGACTTTCAAGCCATTAACCACTATATTATGGAGGCACTGACATACAAGGGATTGTGTGGCAGCAAAGAGAAACTATTGAAGATGGATTGGAAGTTATGACACATTGAGCGAAAAAAATATTATTGTACATGGAATGCAGCAGGAAAACCAGGTCAACACAGTATTTATTTATCTGTTTACAAAAAGCTTAAAACTCTCAAATTCTGTCAAGTTCTAAGGAAGTCTGTTTAAATACAGTTAGTAATCGAAACAAAGAGGAGTTTTTTTAAAAGTTAGTGCACTAGTAATAATGAGAGATTCACTTCATGATAAATGAACAGGCCTCTAAATACTGAATATTTACAGCTGGCTAGTCTGTACTGATAAGTAAGGCAAACCTCAGACTAGGCCACTGTAAGAGGGGTGGCTCAAACAAGACAAGCAGAAATCCTGGGGATTAAATTTGAGGAAAAAAGCAAGCATCCCATCTACAACTTCATAGGGGTTTTGTGAGAAACCAATGAGATAATGTGTGTAAAGGGTTTTGTAAACTTTAAAAAGCTATGTAAATGTCAAGAGGTATAATGACCAGCAAACCCCCCTCCCCCAACTACAACTAATACTGCTGCTGCTGCTATTACTACTACTACTTACTAGTACTACTGCTGCCACCACCACTACTACAACCCACATTTTATGGAGCTAGGAAAAAATGTATACAAAAAAGTGAATGAGCCTAGAACTTGTTTAAAGTAGGGAACACCATAGCAAATTTATTAGAGTCCTGTTTACATTTTGGTTGTCAAATCTAATAATTCTTTTTAATGACATTTCTTCATTGTAGTTATTCTAGTTGGTAAATAATAACCTACTTGATTTTCAAGAGGAAGTCAAAATTCTCTAGGAAGGAGAGAGTCACAAACAACCACATTCCCACCTTGATGCTCACCTGAAATTTAACAAAGTCTTGCACATAGTGGGCACTTTAAAATGTTTGTGGAATGGAATAGAGGAGACCATGGAACATTCAGAAAGTATCCTTTAGTCAATTGGAAATGTGAATCTGGAGTTCAGAAGAGAGATCAAGTTTGGGAATCAAAACTTGGGAATATCTGGGCCATGGTTTCTTCGTCTATAAAATGATAACCTCCAAGGTCCATTATAACTCTAAAAGCTATGATCCTCTGAATCATCTGTATGGAGGTGGTAGTTAAATCATTGGGAATGAATGAGATTGTAAAAGGAGATAGTGTAGAGAGAGAAAAGAGGGCCAAGGCCAACCCTTAGGGGAAATCTACATTAAGAGGACAGGAAGAAGATAAGGATTCACCAAAATAGACCAAGAGGGAGCAGTTAGGTAGGAGTAGAAGCAGAAGAATACATTCTCTTTAAAGTCAAGGAAGGAAACAATATATCAGAAGAAGGAGAGTCCAACTATATCAAAAGCAGCAGAGAGGCCAAGGAAAATGAAAATAAAGAAAAACCATTGGATTCGGTGATTAGGTTGTAATTGGTAGTATTTGAAATAGCAACTTCAGTAGGGACAGAAACTAAATTACAAGAAGCTATGAGAAAACAGACATATTAAAATTTTTAAATGTTATAAGAAATGTAGCCATGCAAGGGAGGTAAAAGATAGGATCTAGGTGAATGGGCTGGAGAGATCAAGGGAAGGCTTACCTCCTCCCACTCACTTAAGATGGTGTAGTGATTTGAATGTGTTTCTAGGTAGATAGGAAGGAGCCAGTAATGAAGTAGCTGTTGAAAATGTTTGAAAGGGTATGAGAGCTAAAGTAAGGCCCTGGAGGAGGCAAATGATAGCATAATACAGGCTTCCAGGTTAGTGGATATATCACAAATCTCAAATTTGGCATGGATACAGGACAAAATTCTTACAGGAGACTTCAACAATTTCTGGATGCCTCTCTCTCTTGAATCAGAGCAACTGATAAATTCTTTTCTTAGTTTTCTGACTTCATCTTTCAGAAAATGGAAGAAGCAAGGAGTAATGATAAGCCATAGTCTGACCAAAAGGAAAGAGCTGGTTAATAAAGTAGAGGAACAGCCTGTTCAAATGCACAGAGATAGGAACTGTGATGCTAAGTTTGGGGAACAGACAGTAGTCCTGTTTTGCTGGACTATAGCATTTCTAAAGTGGAAGAGTATGAATTACAGCTGGAAAAGTAGGTTGGAGTAAAAGTGCGGACAACTGGAAATGACAGGCCAAGGAGCTTGCATTTTATCTATGATGATAAGAAACCACTGACAACTTTCGAATGGGGGCAATGGTGTTGCTTAAAGAACACTTATTTTGGCAGTTCTGTATGGAATATTTAGGAGACTGTAGAGACTGGAAATAGGAAGGAACAGCAATTAGAAGGCTGATTACACTAATGAACTTGTAAACTAGGGTACTGGTTATGTGAATGAATGGATGCAAGAGCTTTTTGAAGGTAAGAGTTAGTAATGGATTGGATATTAGGGATGAGGGAGAAGAAAAGTCAGGGACACTAAGGTTGCAGACATAGATAACTAGAAAGATATTGGTACCTTCAAAAGTAACAGGGAGGAACTGTTCTATGGGAAAAGATAATGAGTTCCATTTTGGACATATTGAGTTCTAGATACCAATAGCACATCCATGTGAATATGTTCTCAGTAGGCCATTGGCAATGTGAGACTGAATTCTGGAGATAGATTGACAGGACAGATAGATTCAAGAGTCATATGTTCAAGGGTGATACTTGAATTTATCAGAACAGACAAGAACACTAAGAGAAAAAGTATAAAAAGAAGTGAGTTCAAGAAAGAGTCTTAGAGTACATTCAAGATCAGCAGGCAGGAAAAAAAGATGATAATCCAGCAAAGGACACTAACAAGGAGTGGTCAGGTAAGTAGTAGATTAAAGTAAGAAAAATATTTCAGAAGTCGAAAATGAAGGAAGGATTAGTTGACTGTGTCAAAATCAGCAAAGAGTTCAAGTAGGATGACTTAGAAGAGACCATTACATTTAGAAGTTATAAAAAAAGAAAAAAAAGAAAAAAAAGAAAGAAGTTGTAAGATTGTTAATCTTAGAGACAGCACCTCCAGTTGAGTGATGAGTGAGATCAAGAGCCAAATTGTAAAGAATGAGAAGTAAGTGGGTCCTGAAGTATAGTCATATAGATCAACAAAGTACTGAATGAATAAACAACATAGCAAACAAATAAATAGATTAATGCATTAAGAAGGGTTAGAATTTCCTTTTAGATATGGCTGGAAACATAATGGACCATGATAAGAAAGTAAGATTATGTAACTATTCTTTTGTTTGCTTTCTCTACCAAGGACAGTGATTTTCAGTATGAGGGAAAGTAGAATAAAACTACTGACATGGAACTGAAATCCCAAATAAGTAAGGAGATGGTAAGAGTATTCTGACTGCCCTCAATTTCAAGGCACTTGACCCAATGGAAGTGCATCACACACTACATTCCATGGAGGATGTGATTGATAAACTACTAATAGTTGTTGATGAATAATGGTGTGTGGGAGGAATGTCACTGGCAAATGCTATTCTGATTTTTTAGAAAGAGGAAGAACTATACACTAGGGAGCATAACATTGATTCCTGGTAAAAATTTATATTGCATCATTAAAGGGATGACTTTCTAGCACTTAGGAAAATGGGCATAATTATGAGAAAGAATAAGCTCATCCATAACAAAAGTCATATTACACTAACTTAATTTCCTTTTTTCATGGGCTTATCAGACTGGTACTATGGATATAATAGACCTCTTTCAGCAAGGCACCTGAAAAAGTATGTCATGTCATCTTTGTGGACAAGATAGAGATATAAGTTAGATTGGTTCAGAAGTTATTAGCTGACTGTTCAAAGGAGGACCCAAAGATTTTGCCACTTGATTGATTCCTTTATTCTTCTTGAGAGGTGATGAGATGTAGGGGACTGACTTCTGGGCTTAGAGTCAGGAGATTGAATCTGAACCTAAGTAATTTTTATTTTCTAGCTGTGAAACCATAGGCAAGTCCTTCAAACTCAACATAAAAATTGTCCATGGATTCATTGATAGATTTTGCTGCCAACCAAAAACTATCAACACACAGATCTGGAAGGAAAACCAGTTTATTATAAGCTCAGAGTTGAGACCATGGTATAACTAACAAACAAAAAAACCCAAATAGGCCCCAAGCAGCAGTTTTCAGCAACCTTATATAGATCTTCAGTAGACAGAACAGGCACAATGGAATTTTACAGAAGGCAGAAAACAAAGATTTGCATATAAAAGAACAGATAGCAGAAGGATCTGTGTCAGGTAAAATCATAAACAGGTCAGTAAACACTGGAGATAAACCTGGAATTTGTAGACCAATCATTAATGCTGGAACTGTAACTAATTACTCAACATGCTCATCTTAAGTAAACAGAGGTAATAAAACTTAGTCAGAAATTCTCTTATTATTAACCAGTTAATCCCTTGCAGTAATGTTTGAGATCAC